TCTCAGGTGGTACATGTAAGTGATCCTGTCTTGCGTTTACGTAGAGGTAGACCCACCACAAGCCCTATACTCTGTATGACTATGATGGAGAGAAGGCTGAATGCTAATCTGAGCGGTGGCACTCTGCCCAGAGAGAACTGACTGTGGCAATGCGAGCAGAGCATGGCAGCCAGTGCTTGGGATGGTGAAGTTGAGGGTGTGAGATAGATCACACTGTGATTAATTCATGGACTAAATAGAAAAACAGAATGCCTTCTGTCATTTAGCCTGGCATGTGTTTACAATCATGTTTCAACTCTCTAAGGTTATATTATAATGCAAGACTCAATCCAGGGTGGAATATATCAGATGCACTTTTTAATTCTGAGCAAACTGATAGGGGTAATTATATTCTAACCAAACAAATTGAAGTAGTGCCAATGGTTTATAGAAGTGGAGGATGTTTTTGCATGGTTGAGACAAACTATACTGGGGGCAATGTAATGTTAAGCACACTAAAATTATACAGTATGTGTTGATGGATACCTTCTATCTTGGCAAACATAAATAACCTGTCCACAGTGTGGTTTCCAATTTTATGAGACCATAGTGAGAAGGCCAATGTAAGAGCTTTTCTTCTTGGAGTATGCATGCTGTAATATGATAGCCTATCTATCCATGTACAAAAATCAATTGACATAGGGCTTAGGCCTATAGCATAGCCTATTGGTGCAAAGAAGCCTAAAGTATCACAGTTAAAAATATATGGTAAATAGAAATCAAAACTGGATGGTCTTCAGAGATAGATGGGAGGGATTGAGGGTAGCTGAAGGATGGGACTAAAAACAAACAAAGATCACTATTGTAAAATATACTGTGTCTGTAAAATGTATATAGTATGTATAAGCTGGAAGTAGAAGACTAAGTGTTGTTGTCCATTAGATTACTCCAATTAAGGGAGGGGTGGTAGGGTTAGGGGAAAATAACAAAGGAAAATATATTTAAAAGATATATATATACAGTACCAGTCAAATGTTTGGACACACCTACTCATTCAAGGGTTTTTCTTTATTATCTTTTACAATTGTTTTACATTGTAGAATAATAGTGAAGACATCAAAACTATGAAATAATACATATGGAATCATGTAGTAACCAAAAAAGTGTTAAACAAATCAGAATATATTTTATATTTGAGATTCTTCAAATAGCCACCCTTTGCCTTGATGACAGCTTTGCACACGCTTGGCAATCTCTCAACCAGCTTCATGAGGTAGTCACCTGGAATGCATTTCAATGAACAGGTCATCCTTCTTAAAAGTTAATTTGTGGAATTAATTTCCTTCTTAATGCGTTTGAGCCAATCAGGTGTTGTGACAATGTAGGGGGGGGGGGGGGGGGGGGGGGGGAGTATACAGAAGATAGCTCTATTTGGTAAAAGACCATGTCCATATTATGGCAAGAACAGCTCAAATAAGCAAAGAGAAACGACAGTCCATTATGACTTTAAGACATGGTCAGTCAATACTGAACATTTCAAGAACTTTGAAAGTTTCTTCAAGTGCAGTCGCAAAAACTATCTAGCGCTATGATGAAACTGGCTCTCATGAGGACCGCCACAGGAATGGAAGACCCGGAGTTACCTCTGCTGCAGAGGATACGTTCATTCGAGTTACCAGCCTCAGAAATTGCAGCCCAAATAAATGCTTCACAGAGTTCAAGTAACAGACACATCTCAACATCAACTGTTCAGAGGAGACTGTGTGAATCAGGCCTTCATGGTCGAATTGCTGCAAAGAAACCACTACTAAAGGACACCAATAAGAAGAAGAGACCTGATTGGGCCAAGAAACACGAGCAATGGACATTAGACCAGTGGAAATTTGTCCTTTGGTCTGGAGTCCAAATTGGAGATTTTTGGTTCAAACCGCCGTGTCTTTGTGAGATGCGGTGTGGGTGAACGGATGATCTCCGCATGTGTAGTTCCCACCGTAAAGCATGGAGGAGGAGGTGTCATGGTGTGGGGGTGCTTTGCTTGTGACACTGTCTGTGATTTATTTATAATTCAAGGCACACTTAACCAGCATGGCTACCACAGCATTCTGCAGCAAAACGCCATCCCATCTGGCTATTTTACCAAGAAGGAGAGTGATGGAGTGCTGCATCAGATGACCTGGCCTCCACAATTCCCCGATCTCAACCCAATTGAGATGGTTTGGGATGAGTCGGACGGCAGAGTGAAGGAAAGCAGCCTACAAGTGATCAGCATATGTGGGAACTCCTTAAAGATTGTTGGAAAAGCATTCCAGGTGAAGCTGGTTGAGAGAATGCCAAGAGTGTGCAAAGCTGTCATCAAGGCAAAGGGTGGCTATTTGAAGAATCTCAAATATAAAATATATTTTGATTTGTTTAACACTTTTTGGGTTAATACATGATTCTTTGTGTTATTTCATAGTTTTGATGTCTTCACTATTATTCTACAATGTAAAAAATAGTAAAAATAAAGAATAACCCTGGAATGAGTAGGTGTGTCCAAACTTTTGACTGGTACTGTATATATATTTACAAAAATATATATGGGGGATTGGAAATGATGCAGACAATTACATTGATGGAAGCCACAATCTATCTGCAATATTAAAGCTTATCTACCGCACTGAAAAAAATATATTTAAAAAAGAAGTCTAGAGTAATTAATATACACAGTGATTAAAATGTCTTGTGATAGGCTGTCTGCTGTGCTGGACCTGACTGATCTGGTGTCGCTTATTGTCCTGCCACTGCTGAAGGTCACACATAGTGACAACTGGCCCCAGATCACACTCTCCACATAAGGACATGGAGGTCTGTGTGTTTTTAGGATAATGTGAATGACACCTCCGCTAAATCTCTAAGTAGCAACCAAGAATTTATGAGTTCCTGCTTTTAGATTATATGTTAACCTCAAAAATATTCCTAATAGCGACACGAAAGGCTATCGTGTGTCCCATTGCATGTTCCAGAGGACCAGCTGGCTCGCGCTCTTTGCAACCGGTTAGAGTCACCCACATGGTGCCGACGGCTTGGAAACAAGACTTGTGGCTTCTATTCGCACAGTTCTGGGTGGCACACTCAAACTAAAACTGGTCTGTTATTGCCTAGCCGAACTGCGGGAAGATGTTTGGAGGGGGGGGGGGGGGGGATTTCTCCCACGCTGCAGATGGCTGTATGAGTCCGCTAATACAGGAGTTGTAAAGGCCCAGTGCACTACTTTTGTAAAAAGATGTTTATATTTATTCAATATGATTTTGCAGCTGCAGCACCCTTACAACCCGTGGCTATGCTACACACCAATCTATTATGCAATGCTCTTTTTTGTCTACATGCCACATAGACAAGTTGATGCTAGTAGGCTATAGCCCATTTAAACAAGCAATTGTTTTACCCAGATGACGCTGAATAGACAACACTTTGATGGTAGGCTACCAATAACAATTATGTTATAAGAACACATAGCCTACACACTGATAGTTTTAAAACTCATCAATCATTTTTCACTTAGCCTACATGTAGTAGGTTCATTCATTGACCCAAACACTGCATGCCTATTTTACCTGCAAATTGCACATTTCATCCCATTAACTGCTAAAACGCTTCCATCTGAAAAGAGTCCTTTGTTAGTGGTTCTCCGGGAAGGGAGCGAGACCCTCCACCCCTTTCGTGTCTTTCATCACTTTTGTCAGAAGCTGATATTAATCTACAGCTGTCCAGTGCTAAACTGAAACAATCAAAAAGACCATCTGAGAAAGTGAACATATGGTGGCAGCATCACACTTTCTTTTGTTGTAGATTTTTTTTCCTCCCCCATATTTCTTTTCTCCATCTGATATTTATGTTATGTGTTATTTGTGTTATTCCATAGCAGCTACCTCCCTGTAAAGTACTTTCTGAAGGCACTGTATATTCTTCCTGACAAGGTCAAATACTACTCTGTACAAATACTTCACACACTTTTGCTGGTGTACGGTATTGAATGCCCTTTAGACATACAGTATGTCTTCACATTGACAAGTTGAAGCATTAGCATTGACAGTATCTACAAGAAAATGATGTAGCCCTTCCTGCAGTCAATTACCAAAAGCACTCTCTTTAGCCTCATGGGTAGAAAGATAGCTTTAATTATTTTCTCATTAATAAATACTTTTTTTTACGACAAAAATCTGGTGTTTCTATGTCACACAGTTTGGTTATATTTCATCAGTCTTCTGTGATGTATATAAAGTGAAGTATTTGGATGGAAAACATTTCAACTCTATATCTGACATGGTACAGGTGTCTTCTTTTTTTAAGCCCATAACCATGTGTGTTAGGTGTATACTTTGATTCAAAGTAGATTTGTTTAAGACTACCATGAAACGTTCTGTGTGACCCTGATTTAGCCCACTGAGGTAAAAGGTTAAGAGGGGAGAAAGGAAATAAGATGAATGTGAACCTCAGTACACTGACCATGCATTAGTGGAGGGGAAAATTTAACACTTAAGTTGTACTTGCAGATGGCTGGAAGATATGGATGTTGTACAATATAATATCATTGAAGAAATTAACTAGAATAATAGACAGACTCACATCATCAAACAGAATAGTTTTCAATTGGACTGTCTATGAAATTGTATTTTCTATAGATCACCCATTTTATCTGCCGTGTACATGTTGGCCTAAGCAATCAGTTGAGAGTGAGCACAGAGTCTATAGTTGAGTTTTAATCACGTTGTGCCATTGCTTTATAGTTACAGGCAACACATTGACATTACATAAGAACTGTATCAAGAAAAAATACTTTACATTTACATTTACATTTTACTTTAAATGGCAATATATTAATATGGTCACAATACAATATTAAATGGGTATTCGTTTGACTTTGCTTTATACCTGGGATGACTGAAAAACAATGAGGAATACGTTTATAAAGATCACAATCTTTAATGCAACATTCTCACAGATGTAGGATCTTAATTTGAGCCAGTTTGCTAAAGCAGCAAAATAATCCTGCAGCAACAGGAAACGTGAATTATTATCAAATTAAGATCCTACACATGTATAGAGCTGCCCATAGATCGCACACAGACATACATACATAGCACAGTTGTGTGTCCACTTCTGCTACCCCCTGTCCACCCTTCCCCCTCAAAATCAACAGTCAAACCAGTTGTTCCCTGTGGGTCGGGGTCCAGATTTGACAAAATGCTCCTTTTATGAAGTCCGGAGCCCCTGGTCAAACACTGTGCAGTGACAGTACGATTGCGTGTGTCCGTTGAGTTCTGAAACAGTTGTCGTTGACAGCTGCTGGGGAGCATTATAGATTGAGTCAAGTGGCTTCAAATAGCCGGTGCTCACTTCAGTCATGTTAGAGAATGCTCCTCTCTCTTGCTCCTCTCCTTTCACGGATAAAGAAACAACAATGGCAAATAGTGTTTGTCCAGTCTCTGAGTGTGCTCTTGTCAAATCTCATTTTTGATGTTCCAGTTTCACACATTCACCATAAAAGGGTTTTATTTATTTTTTATTTTTCAACAAGTGTCCTCTTTGGAGGAGTTGAAAGCGTTCAGTCTTGGCCAGATAACAGTTGTCAGTCACACCACTTAGTATTTCTCGCAAGCTGTCCAGCAAGTCCTGCCCTCCTTTCTCTTAAGTAGGAGAGACTCAGTTTTAGATTCTCTCCCTTGTCCACTGCATTTCCAGCAGATGGTCTCCACAATGGCATAATTTCAGCTGAGGATGTTTCCGCCACAGAGGGTGTAGCGTCGAGCTGCAAGTGAGATTAGAATCTGTTACAGAAAATGTCTGTCAATATCACACAGTGCAGAGAAACACAGAGGCCAGCTCAGGCCTGGAGGGCAGCAGAGCTTTAAAACCAGTACAAGTCCTTGCTCTTATCCTGGGCCTGCAGACCTGAGAGGACAGGAAAGAGAAAGAAAGAGAGAAAACAGAAGGGAGGGCAAGAGAAGATGATTAGGAAGAGGGAGACCAAATGGCTTATAGGTAGAAGCAGGAAGCCCTGAAGCAGAAAAGTATGAAAGAAAGCATTTTGCCTCCCAGGAAAAAGCAGAGACAGAGAACTCAACCTGTTAAACCACAGAGACATTGTCTTTCTTAGCGTTGGAGAGTGGCCTTGACAAGACAACTGTTTTCCCAGGGAGAAAGAAAACCTGCATTGTGTTATGAATGTAAGCATAACCCCGGTGTAAGGCGTTGCAATGTTTCTTAACTTCTACCTTAAATGAATTGGCAGCATCACACTTTCTTTTGTTTGACTTTCTTAGTAGATTTTTTTTCTCCCCCATATTTATTTTCTCCATCTGATATTTATGTTATGTGTTATTTGTGGCCTGTTTGTATGTAGCCTATTGTATGACCTCATGGAGAAAAGTAAAGAAAACAGAGGTGGTGTTGAATATAGTGAAATAAATATCCCTGGTCTCTTCTCAAGAATAATAATATAAATAATATGCCATTTAGCAGACGCTTTTATCCAAAGCGACTTACAGTCATGCGTGCATACATTTTTTTTGTGTGTGTATGGGTGGTCCCGGGGATCGAACCCACTACCTTGGCGTTACAAGCGCCGTGCTCTACCAGCTGAGCTACAGAGGACCAATGTACATAGCAGCTACCTCCCTGTAAAGTACTTTCTGAAGACACTGTATATTCTTCCTGACAAGGTCAAATACTACTCTGTACAAATACTTCACACACTTTTGCTGGGGTACGGTATTGAATGCCCTTTAGACATACAGTATGTCTTCACATTGACAAGTTGAAGCATTAGCATTGACAGTATCTACAAGAGAATGATGTAGCCCTTCCTTCAGTCAATTACCAAAAGCACCCTCTTTAGCCTCATGGGTGGAAAGTTATAGATATTTTTCATAATTTTCTCATTAATAAATACTTTTTTTACGACAAAAATCTGGTGTTTCTATGTCAAACAGTTTTGTTATATTTCATCAGTCTTCTGTGATGTATATAAAGTGAAGTATTGGGATGCAAACTCAAAATAGAAAACATTTCAACTCTATATCTGACATGGTACAGATGTCTTCTTTTTTTAAGCCCATAACCATGTGTGTTAGGTGTATACTTTGTTTCAAAATAGATTTGTTTAAGACTACCATGAAACGTTCTGTGTGACCCTGATTTAGCCCACTGAGGTAAAAGGTTAAGAGGGGAGAAAGGAAATAAGATGAATGTGAACCTCAGTACACTGACAATGCATTAGTGGAGGGGGAAAATTGAACACTTAAGTTGTACTTGCAGATGGCTGGAAGATATGGATGTTGTACAATATAATATCATTGAAGAAATTAACCAGAATAATATATTGCATTGTGTTATGAATGTAAGCATAACCCCGGTGTAAGGCATTGCAACGTTTCTTAACTTCTACCTTAAATGAATTGTAGAGCACACAATAGTAGTTGCGCATGTTTGGGGACAATCAAATAACTAAGGCTATTCTGAAGTGCCCTTGGAACAACTACTCCTTTACGAAGAGTGTGTTGTTGTTGTTATTGCTGCTGTTGTTACCTGCGTCTACATTGAGGCCGATGCTCTGGCTGATGTCTGCCCCTGCCCCTGTGAAGGTCCCGGTCCAGGCCGAGCTGGCTGACTCACTCTTCCCAATGTCACACGGTGAGGCGCTCGGCCCGGGGACAGTGGATGGAGGGAGCCGGTGTGGCCGGACGGAGGGCACCAGCAGAGAACTGTAGCGGGGGTCAAAGTGTGTGCCGTACACCTCGTGCATGCTGGGTCGAGGGTAGGCGGAGCCCTGGGTGCCGATGGCCCCACCAAGTGAGTAGGGGTGGTGGTGGTGGTGGTGTGAGTGGTGCCAGGGCTCCGGGGTGGCATGTTGGAGGTGGCTGTGTAGGGAGGCGGAGGAGTAAGGGTCCCCAGGGAAGGGTATCTCTGAGTGGGAGGCTCCTAAGGCACTGCTCATGGAGGAGGGCTGGTACGTACTGCTCCAGAAGGACGGGGGGAAACTCCTCTGGCTCATCGGGAATGATCCATCTGGGAAACCACAGACACATTGAAATGCTCAATCACAGATCAATTATGTGGTAAAGACTATGAATGTATCTTTGGGTGAGGATCGATAAGCCTGTTCTGAGGATGTGGTAAAATAGCAGAGTTTAAAGACTGATCATTCAATGATCAATTCAATTGAAAGGATGAAATAAAGGAGAACATTAAAAGATGCATGGATGAATATCATTGTTGTTGTCCATTATTCCTGATGGTTGATCAAAATTGGAGAATGGTTGGCTGTGTAATATTGGTCATATAATTACATTTTAGTTCATTAAGGGAGTAATATGCAACAGAGAAATGATACCAAACCCTCACTACAAGTTCCCCTACAATATAGTGAATAAGTCTGCGCCCTAAATTCTACAGAACCCATGTTATCATATTTTCAACTGCCTTATTTATAGCAATTCGTCGTGCCCATCAATTTTGTTTGACTTTCTGATTCCGTTGTAATTTTGATCAAACATAAATGAGAGTGGTGAATGACTGCCAACTGAAACTGAAACTATGGGAGCAAAACATGGGATTAATTGATTTGTTCTCAAATCCAAACTTGTAAAAGGCTGTTTATTTTAGTAGGATGTGAACTCAATAATATACCAAAAACTAAGAACTCACTTGCATGCAAGACCTAGGCCTACTCGCCAAATGAATGCAAATATTTATGAAAACGTTTCCTGTATCTTCTATGTAGCCTAAATACACAGTCATTGAGGTGAAATGAAACCGCGCGCGGACAGGTGTTTGGAGTGGTTCTGTGATCGGCACCTTTCCAAGAGGTGGATGTAGGTCTACCTCGTGCGGACTTGTTGCTGACCGACCCGGGGACGTAGCTGGTGGGCTGGTTGAGGGCCCGGCTGAAGTGCTCGTCCACCACTGAGCTGATGTCCCCCTGGAAGTAGGTGAAGAGCACGCATCGCGAGTTCAGGTACTCGGCCTCTGGAGGGTGATCTTTCTCTCGCGCGCAGTCCTCCTCCTTTATCGTCGGACCCGGGAGGTTCGATAACGAGTTGCCCCCACTGATGCTCTCTTGCGCTTCTTGCATTTTGGAATAAAATGCCAATTTCTGAAACATCCGATAAAAAAAACGTCAGAATGTAATAGCCTTGACATGTATTAGATATTAATTCCTATCAAGGCATCAAGTTAACTATTATCTACTTGAATTTCACCTGCACATTTGGGTGACATTTTTGCGCTTTTCCTTATTGTCCAACAGTTGCGCATTATATTGTGGCCTCTGTGCGTTTAATAAACCTATTTTAAATGGTATATTAAAAATAAAAGCATGGTCCTCTCCTCATTCATAGGCCTACTCAAACTATTTTTTAGACGTGACAGTGGTTGGATTCAAGAACACAGCTATTGCATTTAAATCCGTGAACATATCGCCAATCAGTTAATTGGTTAATTATGAACATTGGAGAGTCTTGAATGAATCCCACTATTCCCTTCTCTCTCTGCATACTCACTCCATTTAAAGAAGACTTTCGACCTATTTTAAATATGAAAACCAGCTCTCTGTGCAAACGAAGATCTGCATTTGTATATTGAATGTGAGAGGTTTTAAGAAAGTGGCAAACATTTAAGAGGGCCGTAGCACCAATGCACCTCTGGAAAACGAATAGCCCATATATGCCTAACTGGTACTCGTGCATGCAAAACCCATTAACTTAATTTACAGTAATGTATCACCGGATATGCTTCAACGAAATCGTTACTAGAGCACTGCTTATTCAATTTTCAACTGCCCTTGCTCATGAAAAATGTTACACGGTAGCTAAGTAATTGTTGTGAATGTAAAGGATCCTATATTGCAGCCTATAGATTACTAAAGAAAAAAGAAAAAAGAAAAACTTCGACTTGACGAACGCTTAATAAAAGTTGTAAACGAAGCCTACAATCTATTAATGACCCATCATTATTTTGTTTTGATTGGTTAATAAAGGCCTTGGCTATTTCAATGTAGTCTACATATTAAGAATAGTCCTAATTTACACATAGCAAAATATCCTAAATAGCAATATAATCTAGAAACAACAAATTCAGTAGCCTATGCAATAGTCTAAGCCTGAGTGATTCGATTTAGCAAAACGGAGAGCATATCTATAAACAACTTGAAAAATATGTTGGTTTAAAACACTTATAAACACTTATATCAACTAACAATATTATCACGCAAATTAGATATAGTCAATAACAATTCAAGGAGGTATGGCTATCATTATTCATTAATGAATCATTAATAACAATCAAAAGTAGGCCTAGCATTGCCAATAGGCTAATAAATTATTCTTCTTAAATAGATAACTGTTGAAAGGGACTATTGGTTCCCAATTGACTCACGGCTGTAATGTAGAATAATTTTTAAAGTGGCCATTGCCAAAATACAGTAGCCTAGAGAGACCAAATGACGCCATAATGCGCGATAAAAGTTTTTTCCACACCAGTCTGACAAAAGTTTCCGTGCACTATATCTGCCAATAAGCGAAATAACACAAGCAATAACATACCTGGTGACGATATGGATTATACGCAGCGGAAAAATAAGGCTGAGGTGGTGGACCATACACTTGATACATCACATCCAAGCAGCTCATGGCGAAAAAAGCGAATTCTCACGGATAATAACTTGACAGAATAAGCAGAATCTTCATTGGAGATTGTAGGGCTGTAATTTCCTAAACGCGGAGAGATTAAAGTAATTTAGAACGTTGGGGAGCGGGGTTTCTATCCCAATCGCGCTGCGCGTCCTGCCTTCTTAACGCTCCCTCAGTGCGACAGCGAGAGCGTAGCGGGCAAAAGTAAAGACATTACACAGCCAGCGGTTTTGAAGTGTCTCTGGACGAGCCTGCATCTGACCAATGAGGGAGCAAAAGCACTTCACAAGCTGGTTTATTTTTTCTTCTGAAAGTCTGCAATGAACATTTCATTACCGTCATGAGATGCGAGATGCTAAATGAAATACTATGGAGCTCTGCCAAATAGGGTAGGCCACTTAGTGGAGAGCTTAGTAACAAGCTAAATGTTTACTGATATCGACTGTTACCTGGAATTAATTCATTTGATATGCACCTGCATGTTACCTGCATTTAATCTATATTACAGGCCAATGTGCTAATTTCACACACACATGTGAATTGTATTTGTATCCCATGTATAGTGTCTTTACATAAGGCTAGTCACTCACTGGTTACCACACATGATAAAACATTATTGTAAATAACGTTGAAAATAAACCTTTAAAAAAATATGTTTTTTCGAATACTTTTACAGTTTGATGGGCCTGGATAAAAACCCATGGACCTGTGGCGTAACGTTCATGGGTCTGTGGTAAGCTGTGAAGGCCTATTAATAAATACAACCAAATCAAATCAAATTTTATTGGTCACATATTTAGTAGCTGTTTTTGCGGGTGTAGCGAAATGCTTGTGTTCCTAGCTCCAACAGTGCAGTAGTATCTAACAATGAGTACAATAAGAGTCAGAAATGTCAACATACGGAATGTAACATAATGATCGTTGTTAGCGTTAACTGTCTATGTAAACAGTTCAAATAAATGAATGAGAGGAATTCAGTGCTCCAACCCCACACAGTACAGAGTGCCACAATCCCTCGGTGGCCTGTCAGATTCCAAGGTCAGAGGTTAAATAGTTTGGTCACAATTTGTGTCGGGGTCAGAATGCATTATCTAGAGTTTGAATGATAATAATCATTTCACAACAAACAATAATGGCACTGGAATGAAGGTACTAACATTACAGAAATGCTGCTCTAGTCTATTGTGAACAAAGTGAGACAGGTAATGACTATTCATATCCAAAGACTCTCTCTGCTTTCATGGTCATTGTGGGCTTGGACAAATGGTTTTCCCACCATAAATATAGTGAGCTCCAAAAGCATTGGGACAGTGACACATTTTTGTTGTTGCTTTGGCTTTGTACTCCAGCACATAGTGAACCATTTAGAAATTACAGCACTTTATGTACATAGTCCCCCCATTTTAGGGGACCAAAAGTATTGGGACAAATATGTGTATTAAATTAGTCCAAAGTTTTGTATTTGGTCCCATATTCCTACCACGCAATGATATATCAATCATTTGCTGTTTGTTTTGGTTGTGTTTCAGATTCTTTTGTGCCCAATTGAAATGAATGGTAAATAATGTATTGTGTCATTTTGGAGTCATTTGTATTGTAAATAAAAAATATAATATGTTTCTAAACACTTCTACATTCATGTGGATGCTACCATGATTATGAGTAGTCCTGATTGAATCGTAAATAATGATGAGTGACAAAGTTACGGAACCACAAATATCATACCCCCCCCCCCCCCCCCCCCCCCCCCCTCTAAAAAATGTTAACCCCCCCTGTTAATGTAATAGTGAGAGGTTAGCATGACTTGGGGGTATGATATTTTGTGCGTCTGTATCATTTCAAATCTAAAGTGCTAGAGTACAGAGCCAAAACAAAAACAACAAATGGTCTCTGTCCCAATACTTTGGAGCTCACTGTATTTCTTTACATTTTTCAACAATTGAAGGGAGACAAACCTTTTAACATAATCCCACAAAAATTGTCTGATGCTGGATAAATCATATAAAGGAAATCCAAAGTAAAGATGATTTTAGCCCTCTGATGAAAAGTTGGATAAGAGAGCGTCTTTGCACCCAATTAACCTTGTTAGCTGTGGCAGAAATATGACCATGGGGGAAACCACTACCCCCTCTGCTCTGCCAGCCCTGTGCTGTGTTGGGGAGAACCAGGCCCCTCACACATCAGCCCTCTTTAATGCACAATTAACAGCTCTGGATTTTCAGATGAAAACTTACTCCCAGCACCACTGCACGGTTGGAAGTAACACCGTCACATCACTGGAATGCATGCAACACATGCTGACTTTATCCTCCTGTTTTGTCTACAGTCTACTGAGCACATTGTCTCAGGTCTACAAACAAAATACTCTACCTTTTTAGAATGGCTGGGTATTCTAGCACTTATTCAACTTATTCATACACTTATCATCTTTGTTGATATCTTCATCAATATTTCAAAGTTGTAACAGTTCATCAACTGCATTCAATGAGGGGGTGAAAGGGGCAGCACACAAAGGCATTGCCAGAAGTGAACGAGGAACGCAAACATGTACTTTACATAGTAGCTGAATGAGGACTGAATATATTAGTAGGATAGTTATTTCTCTAGTTATTTCAGGATCTCTACAAAAACATTAACATACTTACAACAAGATTAAAATGTTAACTCTTCAAACTGCTTATATAACTTTTCTTATTTTACAACTGACTCCTCAAATTAATGAAGCTGAAGGTCATTGGTGACAAACCCCTGTCATGACCATGTTGTGTATGAGGAATGACCATTGATCATCATTGGGTTTTTGGTGTTCTGGTAGTGTGACATGGGTGTTAAATCATGCACTTCATGTGACCACAGCAACCATTTTAGATGTGGTAGTTCCAGTGTGAAATGCGAAACAGAGAGTTTCTGTTTCAGGAGAGATATTGTGACACCTGTCCCAGACACACAGCCTCACTGCCACACAAGGTTCAGCAGCATATGAGGAAACCATTAAAGAGCACAGAATAGGCACATACAGCCCAGGACCAGGGGGAAAGTTCAAGGGTCATAGATCAAATCCTAGGCAGTACACAGCCTTTTTGTTTGAGCCAATGATAATTTAAAATGCATGTAATGAACACGAAGAAAAAAAAGAAACCCGCACTCGTTTCTAATCACAGCACTTCATCTTCTAAATATGAGGCCTGCTACATCGGGACTGGCAATATTATGACAAAATTAGGACGCAGTGGGCCTGCAGTGTGTCCAATTGGTTCGCCAGGGCTCTGACTACGTAGCACGACATGGCATAAGAGAAGCGTGATACGTACAGTAGAGCCCCAGCAGCCCCTTCTCGTGGCGGAGACACCTGTCACTAGTATTAGGCGGCGATGAAGTCGTGGTCCGGCCTGGGGAGGAAATGTGGAAATCCAAAGACACTGGGTGACTCTTGAACGGAGCGAGGAGGAAGCGTCAGCTGTGGAGCTGCTGCTAGGCCGTTTCCAGGCGTATACATTCATACTGACTCCATTCATCCACCCATTCATTCCTTTGGATACGCCTGACATTAGTCTAATAGAATTTATTGAAAAACTACCAGGGTGACTATAAGTTGCATATGTGCTGAACCAGGACAATGTACAGTAGCACTCCCCATTAGGGAAAACACGCCAAGAGAACTGTATATAGAAAGTCAAAATGAAGTCATGTAAAACATGACCAGCCCTTCCCTAGACTTTCACTAGATTGCTAATTATTATTTTAATTTGATTTATCAACTAATGATAGTTTCCCTATTATTTCATGTTGGTCTTGGTCATCATGTAAATGTCCTCTAACAAAACCAATGTACTGTAGTTCCTTTTTTTAATCAGTGTTATTTTAACTTACAAAGATTTCATTTAGAATTCAAACCAAAAAAAGCAAGGCCAGCCATTTCAAATAATATTTGAATGAATGTTATGGGCAGTTATTTTTGGTTCTCTGTGCAGAAGCTGAAAGGACCACGTCCACAGCTCTGTAACAGAAAACCTTGACAGTTCAGGGACTGGTTTCTTACTGGTTTAGTCTTCAAATGTGTCTCTTCTGTGAGGCATAATGACCATACGCCATCTTAGACACATGATTGAAAAGGAATTGAAAGTCTGAGAATTAATTTAATCTGAGATTCGGGTGATTCAGATAATATGATGACTGATTCTCCATCTTAGAGAACACGATGTATTCTGCCTACAAGGTCTAACCCTAACCTTTAACTTGAACATTTTGTCAAAGCTTGAATGAGATGATTCAAGACGACCAAACTGATTCAGACCTGGTTGTATCACTCATTGTTATTTTTTCCACGCAGCTGTAGCCCAGGCAATCTTGGTGTACCGTGGCTGAGAGGGTTAAAAAGAGAGGTACTGCTAGATGTGCTTCAGCTTCTCATTACATGAAGTATTATCTACACAAAAGCCCTATATCATATGAGTCAATTGTAGGAAATACATTTGTTCCATAACTTCATAAATATTTCATAAGGTAAAGGTAAAGGGTGTATTACTATTGACCCTCTGTAGCGTGTGTGTGTCTGTAGTGTGTTTGCAGTGTGTGTCTGCAGCACAGGAGGTTGGTGGCACCATAATTGGGGAGGACGGGCTTGTGGTAATGGCTGGAGCAGAATTGGTGGAATGGTATCAAATACATCCAACACATGGTTTCCATGTGTTTGATGCCATTCCATTTGGTCCGTTCCAGCCATTATTATGAGCCGTCCTCCCCTCAGCAGCCTCCACTGGTCAGGGCAGCCCGTCTGCAAATTCGGCACTCGTTGATGAGGAAATATTATTGAAAGGTGAATAGCATAAAAATATTTCCTTGCCATTCAAGTGGTGCCATGCCAAGTTGGCGTGGGTTTGGCTTGGCGGCGGAGCGCACGTGATAAACGTGCAATACTGCCCCCTCCACGGAGCGCACGTGATAAACGTGCAATACTGCCCCCTCCACGGAGCGCACGTGATAAACGTGCAATACTGCCCCCATCCACAGAGACCCGCATAACAACAACCACACGCTACGTCACCAGGCTCCTGTTGCATATTGAAGTCATATCTTTTCCTGCCAGTTTTATGGGTGAGGTACAGTATAAACCAGGGTGAGGGTGGGGTTGAAGGATGTGGTGTGCGGGTGACCAGCGTGCATTTGGGGAGTAGTCGGGAAGAAATTTAGGAGAAATATATTAGTGTCACATTTTTACAGGGGCAAGAAATTCCCACCGGCTCAAATGTGTT